TACACTATGGAGACAATACAATGCTTACACATGTGAGTCAGATCTTTTTCACTTGTGAGTAAGGTAGTTGCATCCATTTACCTATAAAAACCTCAAGTTTATCCTTCTTTGTAGCTGAGGCATACTCCATTGTACCCCAGTGTTGTTTGAATAGTAACTTTGGACTTTAAGATCCATCACTGAGACTGTGATTTGTGTATTGCAGGCCCTGAAAGCCAGAATCAGTAACCTGCCCAATGTGAAGAAGTTTCTGCAGCCTGGCAGCCAGAGAAAGCCTCCAACTACTGAGAAAATGATTGAAGAAGCAAGAAAGGTTTTCAAATTTTAATAAGTTGGTATTGACCAACCTCATGCATATCAAACTTTCAAATTTTACAGCAATAAAATTCTTTGTGTAAATATTGATCTCTGGAACTGTGAGTTAATAAGTTAATAACTGTGAGTTAACAAAGTTCCCCTGAGAAGACTTAACCCTTATTTTCTTTATTGGGTTCTGATATGTAACTGGTTTTCTCATGTCCTTTTATTGGAGGTAAAAATTGTAATTAAAAAGTAGTTGCTTAGTTTCCTTTAGTTTCCAAGAATTATAAAGTCTGTCATACAGCTATTAAAGAGAGTTTACAAATTTTCATTTTAAAATGTCACATGTGTGCAGAAAATGTCTGTTATTCTATGCAGTAACAGAACAGAATTTTCCAGCATACATAATCTACTATAGACCTTTACCCAGCTTATGAAAGCCTCACAGAAAGTTTCTTAGGTATAGGGGGTGAAAGAAAGAATCAGGATATGGTATGTACATGTAACAATACCCCACAAGTAATGTAAATATTATGTACTATACACATGTACTAATAACATATAAATAGATGAACATAGTGGTACTTTGGTTCCTGAATGTAATTCATTCCACAATTCTGGAGAACATGGCTGTGTTGGTGCTCATGGGGAGGATGGCTGTGGTCATGTTCATCACCTGATGTGGAGTTCACAAAAGGAAGCAAAATTTTTTTAAACACTTCTGTTTCCAAAGTAGCTTGTTTTTGAACAGCGGTGTTTGTGACCTGAGGTATTACTGTGAGTAAATAAAAAAAAACAGGGTACAATGATTTGCAGAGTTTCAAATGAATGTCATTTCTAGAATTTTTAATTGGGTGCCTCACAGAGGCACATTTAGACCATTTATAAGGTGGAATAATTTGACCATATAGTTCTTCTTCCCCTTGACATGGAAACACATGGCCCCTGAAAACTGTGGGAGTTTTCTCACTAAAGGGAATCTGCCAGCTTCAGTGTAAAGAAACAAATAGCACAAAAATCCATGAGGAAGTTTTCTGAACGGTGGAATCAAAAGGGAGACGTCTTGGTTACTTTCCTCTCATTGCTGAGACAAAATACCTGATGCCCAAAATGAAGGAAGGAAAGATTCATTTAGCTCACAGTTTGTGGAGGATGCAGTCCATACTTGGCTGGCTCCAAGGCAGAGTGGCACATGATAGAGGACAAACGTTCATGGTGGCGAAAAGTAGCAAAGCAACAAGAACAATAGGGGATTTAGCTCAGCGGCAAAGCGCCTGCCTGGCAAGCGCAAGGTCGTGAGTTCGGTTCC